TTTTTTTTTTTTTTTTTTTTTTTTTTAACGCGTAAATTAATATACACAATTTGAAGCGAATCGAATGATTAATTCTAAAATTTATGTAAGACGAAGTAAAATTAGAATACTTAATCTAAAATGTTTACTTTGCATTTTATAAATTATTCATTGCGATCGTTTTCCCAATTCGACTGCGGAGGAATGGGGAAGGGAGATCCGGTTTCGAGTTCAGTAAACCTACTTAGGATCGTGTTTTGAATTGATATTTTTTAATCTCACTGAAGAGTTCAACATACGTGACGCAAAATAACATCATATATGAATATCAGAATTTTTATTCAATTTGAATTTTCTATGTGTATTACTTTACACGTTAAAATTTATATATTATTTCTCATCGAAATTTCGTATTATGTTACCAACATTCGCGACAAAAGAAACTGCGCGAAAGAGGTGGAGAACAAGTTCAAACATGCAAACCGCACATTCAGCGCCAAACAAAAACTCCACAGAAACGATATCCCCGATCTGATATCGAAATTAATGAAAAACAATCGTCCGGGATGTTGTTTATTTACTTGCGAAATTCTGTCTTTGACAAAACCGATTACACGATTTATACACAAATCAATACCGCGTTCGATTTAATTTTGCGTACGCCGGGATCTTCTTGCGTTTTTGTAACAGAGATAAAACGAACGACTCTTGGCGTAGGGATATTACAGGAACTGCATCTCGGCTTTCATCCGTTATCGTCGACGTCGACTGATAAAGAACAATGGTCGCGTTCAACAGAACTGGGTTACGTTCCAAAATTCTATATTTTGCTAACCAAAAACTTATACACGTACACGTTACGTGAAATATAACATTTTACCAACCAAGATATAGAATTTCAGAACGTAAAAACTCTGCCGTCTTGTCAACACTCGACGATGATTAGTTGGTTCTAAGAGCCAATTACGACGTTTGGTCACATTAGAAACACAGCTACGAAGCAACTTGGTTTGCCAAGCGCAACTCGTTTTGCTCAAACGATTCTAGCGCCTGCTGCAATACCAGAAACAGCGAAAAGTAAAAAATTTTTGATAAAAGTTTAAATAAGAAAACAATCTCCTTTTGCATCCTCTTTCTCTCTGTGGGGCTCTGATTCTCGCTTATTAATTTTTTCTCACATTAATTCTTACACAAATTTATTTTTACACAAAAAAAAAATTAATTCTTACACAAATTTATTTCTAAAGACGAGAATCAACAACAAAGATATTATCCTCCTCGCTCGTGTGTCCACGTACTTGATCTCTATTGTGAATTATACAAACTCTTTCACACATCACATATCTCTCATCGCGCAGTATACCAAAGAAACTCCTAGATGTAGATTTCTCCTCATCAAGATTCACATTAGCGTTTCTCATTGAATCTTTTGGATTTTGCCTCGAAACATCATACATCGAACAAAGAAAAGTACGTGTGCGAGACGAGAAACAAAACTTCCGACTTACGGTACCCCCAAATTAATCGCCAAGTCTTTCGGCCGACATCTCTTTGTGACGAAGATTCGTCAGGATGAGAATCCAAATGAAATATAACACAAAACCGATAAGTACAAACAGACAAAGTTGAGAAACGCGGTTTTGTGTATTTTGAACAAGTGTATTTCTGTATTTTATATCCCATTTACCTCGTCTTACCGTGATTCTTTGTTCCGGAACGACCGACCTAGCGTCTCGCCAAGCAATGAATGCGGGAAAAGAGTCTCACCTGTTAGCTCGCATATATATATAGCGTGAGCGAGATAATGAGACGGTAGCGCTGATTGGCCGGCGAGACGACATGTGCACGCTGATCGGCCAATTGGATGACGAGTTACGCACACTCGCACGTGTGCGCGTTCAAACGGTAAACACGACAACGTGAAACCGACCGATTCGTTTCGACTTGACGCGCGATTTCACACGCGACGTCTTCGCGATAACGATTGAAGTTTTGTCGCGCGCGACACGCGACAATCAACGTCACGACGGATGATATTTGACGAAATAACGACACAAGAACGATATCTCAAGCAACCAATGAGAAGATTTTGCTCGACTTGTGCCAAAATGGCGCTCACGAATAATCGTGCGCGTTCCGCAATTCCACCATTGATGCGCGAAGCAGATCCGAGAATATTCTCTCGTTGAACAAAAGTGCACGGACGTTGAATTCCGCGAAGTTTTTGATATCGCTGCGGTATGTTTACGTATTTGATTACGTGTACGTTTGGCTCACGCACCGTGTTTTATCGCTGCGTTTTATCACTCTGACGTTTTTGTCGTCAAAAGCAATGTGTTATCTTCGCGTTCCCTCTGCGGCTAATTACGCAAAAAAAAAAAAAAACAACGTTGCACGAGCGAAAATAACTTCTGAATAGATTCTCTTCGATTATCTCGCGTTCGGGAACACGATTCTCCCGTAGAGAATATCGCGCGCGAAAGTCGTCAAAAATTGCTGCGATATGAGAGGGAAAACAAATGAGTACCGTCTGACAGTTCGTTCGGTGGACAATGTCGTCTCTTGGTAAACGCGTGACATTTCGATCGAGTAGCGAAACGGTATTGTGGTATCAGGGACTGGCGTCTCACAGGTTCGTCATGACTTTGTTGAAAAGGCTGTCCGACGACAAGACCGTGGCGATGAACGAGAACGAGAACGAAAACACGGAGACAACGCGGACGGTGTGCAAACCGCGTCCTAATTTAACGAACGAAACAATGTTTCACGCAGTATACGTACCGCAGGACAAGGACTCGCCTGTGGGCGAAATAGGTTGTGTGATAATTTTATTTGAAGTCCTAGAATATTACTCTGTAACTTTTCTTTGTATTGTGTTACTTAAAAATTTTGATCATCAAATCTTACAATCATTACTATTTCTCTCTTGTACTCAGCAGAAAACATTCATGTCTATGAAGATATGTCCCAAGCTTTGGAAGTGATAAAGGAGCATAAGAAAGCTAGAGTGAAGACTTTCAAGAATCGTTCCGATGCTGAAGCTTATGCAAGAACTGGGGAACAATTGTCTCTCAGCAATAGTTTTATAGCGTTTCCCGTCGTTGCGATGCAAGAACAATCTAGTAATTTTAAGACACTAAAATCTCAGGAACTTGTGAGTTTTAGAAAGTTAATTGAGAACGGAGATTTGGAGAGTGTGAAGAGAGCTGTGTGGGAAAATCCACGATATCTAATTAGCAGCGGAGATACACCTGCAATTTTACAGGTGAAGTATGCTTGTAGTTACTGTCTATGTATGTGGTGGATTTTATGTGTGGTTTGTGATATAAAATATACATCACTGTTGGATTTTTTTTTTTTTTTTATAGACGGGATATCGGTATAATCCATTGCATGTAGCTGCAAAAGCTGGCAAGGCACAGATGTGCGAGTTCATATTGAACACTGTCGGAGATGTCAAATTTATGCAGTGGCATTCCGGAAATGTGGAATGTGTAACTTACTTAGATCCTGTGCAGATAATGTTGGATTTATATTTGAACACACCTGATAAGGGACTCAATGAAACGCCGTTGCATTTTGCTGTGAAGTTTGGCTTTAAAGATGTGGTTCGAGTTTTGGTCTCATATTCTCAATGTCAGAAAGACTTGCGAAACAAATACGAACAGTTACCTATAGATGTAAATATTGAGTCAACAATGTGTAAATTTTTTTTAACAAATATTCAAATTTCAATTTGTACAATTGGTAAAATTATTTCTGCGTTATTGTTTCAGATAATATGTAGCAGAAAGTGCCAAGAAGACGAGGAGTTAAAACGTGAAATATATATGTTGCTGGAGGATCAGTTCTATGTACCTGTATTGAGAGCAGAAGGCAATACGTATCCGCCAATTATTGGTGAACCTTTCTCTCCGACTAGTCCACTTGTAAGTTTACATTCGTGAGATTCAACAAAAACATAATTTTTTATCAAAGACAAAGAAAAGAGTATTTTACACGTTTTAATTAACTGTAGCGGTAATATCTTCTCACTAATGCTTTACATATTTTAGAGACTGAACAAGGACCCTATCAGTCCACGTGTTGAAGTGAGAGCTTTTGCCGGTCCGATGACCAAGTCGGAAGCAGTAGAATTTCGAAAAAAGTGGAAAACACCACCGCGTATTATTATCCCTAAAAAAGGACAGGGTGACGCGTGCAGTATTGAGAACAGTCCCATGTTAGCTTTGAGGCTAAAAGATACGGAAAAAGGTTTGGAGCGTATCGGAAGGTACGTTGCGCACGCACATATAGCAAAACGTCATTAGATAATTTGTAATGACACTAAATTATACCCAGGTATTGCAATTTTGACATAATAGTAGAGTGTTACTTCAATAATTCACTGTGTTTTAGAAATCTTGCTGAGGAATGTCACGTATCTTGGAAGGAATACTGGCCATTCTTGGAAGATTTTGTTGATTTGCGAAGTGACGAAGGATTGACCAAGCTCGAAACCTATTTCCAGGAAAAATTCAAAGAATACAACATGTTTTATCCTGCTTCGATTCAAAAGGTACAAAATGTAGCGTGTGTTTAAAATTCGTTCAAATGCGCGTTAACACCCGAACGTTTCTGTTGATGTAGAAACTCTGTTCTACACACAACGACGCGCCAGCAAATTGCGAACAATCGACGGAAAAGATGGAAAACGCGATCGATGAATTGTGTAAAAAATTGAACTCTTGTTCGTTGCAGACCGAAACCGATAGAGCGGAAGATACAGAAGAAGGTACACGTGTATCTGTCGCTTTTTATACTCTTCACTGTATAAATTTTGATCTAGAACTTACTTAAGTATAACCGTATAATTGTCAATCAATTCATAGACATAGATGACTTGGAATATTACACACCGTCCTCGTCGCCGAAGCTCGTTCACAGCGACTCGGAGAGCGACATGGAGAATGCTGAGGAAGAAGATAGTTTTCCTGCAACTTTTATCCAAGGGTAAAACAGTAGTTTGTTTTCCGTGCGAAAAATATTCACTTCACAGTTTACGGTGTAACACGTGTGACATTTTTATTATCTCAGGGCTTCTCCGACGAAGGAAGATTATGCCGTTTACAATGCGCTCTCGTCTGTGATTTGTCCCGATGTTTATCCGCATGTTTACCGTTGGCGACACAACATGCAGTTGATTATGAAACGTGATCCAAACAGGTATGTCGCATTTGTGTGTACGTTCTCTTGTAAGACTTCAAACTTGTTACATAAATAACGAAGCTATTCTATTCTGATCCTCAGATTCAACGATATGAAATTGTTCAGGAGAAAACTATTCAATAATTAAAGAGTAAGAGGATTTCTATACACATCAGAGACAATCCGGAGTTGCCAAATCTTAGACATTGCTATGCTAATTTCCTTCTTAGACTACAATCGTAAGAAAAAAAAAAACCAAAATTCAAGCTAATTCACAGACGCGTAGCTCTAATTAACGCAACTGATCTTAGAGATCCTTCTCAAGCTGTATTGATATTACATACTTTGTACATACTGGTTTTTTTTTTTTTTTTTTTTTTTTTTTTTTTTTAACACATATATCGCGTAATTGATACGTAAAAAGCGAGCAATATATAAATGTATTTTAGCTAAGATATTGAGAAGAATTTATATATTTTGAGAGAAACGTTTTTTACAAAGAGATCTCTGTGAACACAGTAAGAATAATTCAAAATAAAACTTTTAAAAGCCCCGTTAGAACGTATAGTTCTTTTTATTGCTCACTGCTGTTTACAGTTACAATAAATTACTGAAAAATAAAAACTCACCGAGTTTCATGAATTTCATTACTTTCACCCATTGTGTCCTACAACACTCACGCGCGAATACAAGTCTCTCGTCGGTCGTTTACGTGTACGTGTACGTGTGTTTATCATAACTTCACAAATGTTTTTCAATAAATTTATTTTTTATTCACAATAATATTACATACTTTTATTTTCAACAGAACATTTATGAGTCTTCCGTCTGCTTATATTCCCACGTTTACGGCGTGTGTTGCGTGTGTTTTATTATTACTTATGTTTCTTTCTTGTTTACAATGATAATTCTTTCTCTCGTTTACGATAATTCATATTCTCAGTGTGTGTCTAATTGCGGGATTATTAGTTCCTTCAATTTAATCAAGCGTTAATGGGAATAGGCGGAGATTGCTTTAACTGCAGAATAATCGAACGCATCCGGGAAACATCCTTGGAAGTGCGGGACGACTTTGGATTGAATTCGCAGAGCTTGGCGATGCGTTCCCACTCGGTGCCCGGCTCGACCTCGTCCGCCTCCGCGACAAACTGCTTCTCCGCGTTTCTATTCGTCAAAAAAACAAACATTTTTCACATTTCAACACAGCAACGCCAAATCACGCATCATGCGTCAGTTAGTAACGCGAAGTGTGAGGAATTCGAAATTTATAACTTTTTTTTCTTGTGTCTACAAACGTCACGGATCATCTCTCGCGAAAAAAAAAAAGAAATACAAGTTTGCCGAAAAAAACATTTATCTTATCGGAGATGCAAAAATGATGTAACGTGTAGATAATAAAATTTCAATGCAAGTGCTTCGATAAGGTAGCTGTGTTTGGCTCTTCTTTCTGTGCGTGAATTGACAAAATAACTAAGTGTGCATGTATTTCACGTACTTCATAAAGGATGTGTGCCAAAAGAATAAACTTTATTTAAGCGATGGTGCGATTTTGCAAACAACAGAAAATATCGCGTTACTCGGAATAAAAAGAACGTGAGAAAAAATTGTGCGCTTTTGTTCCTATTTCATTCCAGGCAATAAAACAAAGTCTTGAAAGCTGTGTGAAAAGCAGCCAGTCGTGTTACAACGTGATGCAATGAACGACGCGTAATGCACGATTTTGTTTTCATGCGAAGATAAGAATGTTTTTTTAACTTACTTGGCTGATTCCCTAAGAGATGCGAAATAAAAATAATACAATTACATACACATTAGAAAACTTTGAAAGTCCATAGATTATAGATAGATAGTTTGTTTTTGTTTTTGAAGATAAATTTATGTTATTGTACGGTTGGAGAAGTATTTGCGATATTTATCGACTCTAGCTGAACACAATCACAAACAGTACGTTCGACCAACAACCACAATTCTTATCACGAAGTTTGCCAATTTTTTATGAAATAAATAATATACAAAGAAGTTAAAAGAGCCAGTGGAAGTTTACCTGTTGGTGGTTTTTGTCTTATTAATGGCTTCCGCGTGATGCTTGTACCATTCTTCTAATTCTTTCTTTGCCACTTCTCTCCACTCTTCCTTCTTCTTTTCCTCCTCTGCGTCTAAAACAATTTGTACATAACGTTGAACATAATAATATTGCATCATGTACAATACCTATAGGATGACATTGAGTTTTAACGATTCCGTCAATTTCCATACCTTTCTCCTCCAAACGTGCCTTCTGTTCTTCCCTCCATTTTCTGATTTTTTCGGGTTCTTCTTTGACTGGTGGTGGAGCTACAGGTGCCGTTTCTGTCATTGTTTCGTACAAAAGAATCAAACAGTTAACAAACAATTCAAATGGTATAATTAAAAGAGAGAATGTGAAATTTATATGTACACACCCATTGCCGCTGGTGGCGCTTGTGCTTCCGCGGATTGTCCAATGGCATCTACAATTTCAAAGCTGCCTTCGGCGTCACCGCCCGGGCCAACTTTCAGATTTCCAAATTTTCCAGATAAATCCTCTGTATGTACATATCACTTGCTTGTTTATAATATTCATGCTTGACATTTAAACGTGTTGTTAAACCGAGTTCTCTCTGAATAATGTTTACCACCACAATTAACCAATAAGACCAACTTGTTTACCTTCGGTTTGACCCGCTGCCGCTTGCGCGGCCAGAGTTACAGCCATCGGCGTAATCTCGTCCTCAAGACCAGCGAGTTCGTCCTGCTCCCTCGCAAGAAATTCCGCCGCGGGATCCACCTCGGGATTGACGAAATTGTCGCCGAACGCGTCCATGGCCTGAAAAAAACAGATCGAAAGGTTTCGTTATCTCGCGCAAACAAACGTACCGAACAAAATTCGCCGAACAAAAATAAAACCTTTCTCGAAGTAGTTTTTTTTCTTTCGTTACACGTTGGCGTTAAAATTAATATGGTAGCAACACCGAAAGAAATCAAAAGGGAGATAGAAAGAGAGTCGCGGAGTGAGTCACGGCGCTAGAGAGTTTGACGTTTGAGGTTATCAAAACGTCCCGTTTAATCTGATTCCGATACCGTCACCATTTATCCGTCCGGGATTTCGAGTAGAGGAGGTGCGTTTTTTTTTCCGCTCGCAAACCGCGAACGATTCTCGCGTCCGAGAAAACTGCGTTCGACAAAAACGCGTTGTTATCTCTCGGGAGACACCTCCAACTTTTCTCTCTATCTCGTGTGTGTGTAGTTAGCAAATGTCAATTCGTCCGATCTGGTCTACGTCAATAATATCGTCGTGTGTACGCGTATCGATGGTATCGATACTTCGCACGACTGCCAACTTGACGACGGTCGACTCGCGCGCAACTTCGCTCGTTGCATCAGCACCGTTCGCGCCGTTTCGATCAAAATGTACGACGACGTACCGCTAATTTTGAACATGAATATTGACAAATAACAAATGAAAAGCAATAAAAATGAGAAGAAAGAATCGAATCAAGAAATGGAAGTGGAAACACGCAAACCGAAATGAGGTTCTGAAGTTTCTAGTCACGTGGTTTGATTTTTAAACGTCAAATTGGGTCGCGCTCCATTTCTCGAACCAGCCTCGCATCTTGGTCCGTCGCCAAAGTTACAGACGAGACGAGCGATGGCGGGAATCTCGTCTAGAGAAGTCGGAACGGGATGATCGGGGCTGAATGTTCGATCGTCGCGTTTAATCCGATCTTGTTCAAAATGAATTGGTTCCTCGTGACTTCGCTCCTAACCGATCGCCATTTTGACAGGCCGAATGTTGACCCGTCACCACCGATCGACGTGTTGGCACATAATTGTGATAATTTTGTGATTGATAAATGTCTATCACAGATAAGACTCTTATTGTTTGTAGAATTCGCGCTGACTCTTCACTGAGACTTATCAGTCACGCGACCCAATATGTCACAGGGAGGAGTTCTCAAGCGATTCTGCAACTGCAGAATTCTGCGCGACGGCAGAATTGAGACGGAGGATCTCTGGGTGCGCGACGGCAAGATCGTCAACCCGGAGAAGATTTTCTATGACGAGAAAATCACGCCAGATGTTAGGATCGACTGCGGCGGCAATCTGATCTCACCGGGATACATTGACGTGCAGATCAACGGTACTTGATTAAAATGATGATCCTTAAATGCGTGTCAATTCTGAATCCTCAAACGATATTAGATTTCTATCTTTCATGAAGATAAGAAATTCATTTATTAAAATTTTCAATTTAAAATAGTTCTGTAATCACAAACAAGTAATGTAATGTATTTGTATGTAATTCTCAGGAGGCTTTGGGATAGATTTTTCCTACAATGTTGACAAAGTGGAAGAGGGTATCGACAAGGTGGCAAAAGGATTGTTAGAGTACGGAGTTACATCCTTTTGTCCAACTCTGGTTACATCTCCTAGAGAAATATACCATCAGATATTACCAAGAATAAAGAAGAGAAACGGAGGTAGTCATGGCGCTGCTATACTTGGTGTTCACGTAGAAGGTCCATTCATCAGTCCAAGCAAAAAGGGTGCCCATCCGGAATGCTTTATTCGAAAATTTGACCAGGTAATATATACATGTATAATTTCTGATCATATTTTACACTTAAATAATAATTCAATCTGTTATTTAATTTACTAATATTTTTTGACTAACTTTATTGACTCTGCTTTCAGGGTTTTAAATCAGTTATTGATACATATGGCGATCTGGATAACGTGTGCATGTTCACATTGGCGCCAGAAATTTCAAACGCTGCTTCTGTTATTGAAGAACTGTGCAGGAGAAACATCAAAGTATCTCTTGGTAAATTGGATTTATAAACTGTGAACACACATTTCAACAAAATTTGTATTTTTTTAATGAAATTCCTGTGCTCGACTCACGTCGCATTTTTTTCTAGGCCATTCCGTAGCGAATCTAAGAGAAGGGGAACAAGCCGTTAAACACGGGGCATCATTTATCACTCATCTCTTCAACGCGATGCTGCCTGTGAGTTGGAAAGTGTATTCGCTTTTTCGTGCGACTCGTGTCTGATTTGTCTCTTGTACGTGGTTCCTTTCGATTGTAGTTTCACCACAGAGATCCGGGATTGGTCGGTCTCTTAACATCCGACCAGATCCCACTTGGTAGAATCGTTCATTTCGGCATAATCTCCGACGGGATCCACACGCATCCTGCGGCATTGCGAATTGCACATAAAACGCATCCCGAAGGTCTCGTTCTTGTGACCGACGCGATTTCGGCGTTGGGTTTAGAGGAGGGAATCCACAAGCTGGGACAGTTCGAAATAGAAATACGCAAGGGATCCGCCTATATTGCCGGAACGGATACTCTGTGCGGCAGTATGGCGGAGATGCCGAAGTGCGTGAGATACTTCAAAGAAGCTACAGGTAAGTTTCGTGTTAAAAAAAAGCAAATTCTTTTGTTCGCGTTTTTGTTACATTATGTTTGCGCTTTAATGTACATACCAACGCGTTCGTTCAAGTAGCGATATGTCTGACTCTTACGCAGGTTGCTCGATAGTCGAGGCTCTCGAAGCGGCTACTCTGCATCCCGCGAGAGTGCTCGATATCGATTCCCACAAGGGTACTCTCAACTTCGGGGCCGATGCCGATTTTATACTGCTAGACGAGAAGCTGGAAGTGCTGTCCACGTGGATCTCGGGAGAGTGCGTTCACGAAAAAACTATCGGCGCGATAGAAAACAACTCGACGTGTGAACGTAAGTGAATAATAGAGATCAAAAATTAAAACCGATATCGATTCCATATCCATTTGAAATAGGGAAGAGCTACGGAACGTAGCTTCTTCCACGTTACTCTGAAACTCTTGTTTCCATTTGTACTCGCAGTTTAACGCTACAAATACGCGTATAGTATTTTTATACAACAAAAAAAGATATTAAAATTTATATCATATTGAAGAATATCGAAGACTTTTTTTTATTAAATTCTTCGATTTTTCTGACTAAACGAAATGTATTTTGCAAAGTGGAGTTTTTACATTTGTATGAGGAGATAATTTGGGTATTTTATACATGTATAAAAGAGATTAAGCATTTTATATATAGATAATTTATTAAATTGAATTCAATTCGAGAATTATTAATTTATACGTTTAGGGAAAAAAAATTTATAAATTTGCACATACATTCACAGCGTTTGGCTCGAATTGATAATTCTCTGCTTGGTTGGACACTTATATAAAGCTTATATAAAGCTAATAATAAAAAATTGTTATATAAAATGTGTAACTTTGTAAAACCACATTTTTTTTTGTATTTCACTAACTAATGAAAATATTATGGGAAAGTGTGTGTATATTTTTATACGTACTTTTATTCAAATGTAAATATGCAACAATAAATATTTACTCATTTTTTTATTTGTAAGAGCTCAAAAAATAATCCTACAGTCTTAATGGCGTTTTCTCCTACCTCCAACATCGGTGTCCTAGTAGATGTGAAAATATAGACGTACGCGCGGTAAATTATTAATTAATTGCACAACCATAACAATTTTTTTTTTTTTATATTAATCAAAATACAATAAATACAAATGCTAAATTGTCCATATAAAGTAGAAGCTTGCAGTTACAAGTATTGCATTAGATACATTTTTTTTTAACATACGTAATATAATCGTCATACAGGCAGGATACGTTGTCTCGAAGTTAATGCGTTTTTTTTTTTTTTAATTTTTGTTCATTTCGTTCGACCAATATTTTGTTTAGTACTAATTGTAAGTTAATAAAGTAAAGCAAAAAAAAAAAAAAAAAATTAAACTGAATCGGGAACAAAATTGCTCTGTTTATAAGAATCGGTGTCCGACGAAAGCAAGCGTATTGTAATAAACTGTAATAACTTTTGTCGTTATAATTGAGAGATTAATAAACCGCGTCCTTCAAGTTGCAAATGTACGGCGAGTGTCGGATGCCAAATGTGTGCGCGGGAGGAACGTCCAGAAGCACCTGGGAACACAAAAAAAAACGAATCACGCTAATTCATTATCATGTTGTGAATTGTGTCTCATAATTATGTATTACTGTTAAATTTGTTTCATATATCTCACTGTTTAACAACAATTACACGTTGCCTCGTACACGCGATACCTTTTCCGGGCAGTGTGCTCCGGGCCCCGGGATCTGCGAGTGATCGTCGGGCAGCGAGTAACGCGCGCTTATACTGTAAGCCGGGCTCTTCGCTCTGACCGCGTCCGGTTTGATGGCCTCGTACGCGCCCGGTCCGGGCACGAGAACGCGATCGTCCGTGAAAACCTTCTGTCTGCCGGATATCGAGTACGCGGGCGCCGCTTTCTTGTTGCCTTCCTTGGTCCCGCCAAGGGCGGAGGGAATGTTGTAGACATTGGGCGCTGAAAATCCGATCGATCTGTTTCCTCAGAAATTCGTGCTCGCGCGTAATCATATATCTCTCGTTCGGTTTTATTAACATTTTCACCATTTACGTCGTATTGTTTTCGCAATAACAATTTCGCCGGACACGTCTTCCCACAGAATTGCACATCTCCGATGATAATATTTATCGTTAAATATTGTAAAATAAAGATGTGGACGCGAGTAAATATTGCGTACGCAAGAAAAGATCGATGAGAGGTGATCAGATTATACAACTACTACTACTTAGAGAAAACTAATTTCCTCTTGTGCGTTCTTTTCTGATGTTTCATGCACTTAATGCGTGCAGATGCTATCGCTACTAAATAATATCGCTAACATGCCTAATAACATGCGATGTCAAGATGAGGAACTAAAACGAATATTGTTTCTCACCTGGAACGTCGTTCGGTCTGCTCGTGGGCGATCTGAGACCGAAAGTGAATTGCAACGCTTTCCCCAACAAAAACATCGCTTTTTCCGGACTGTATTCGCCGGGTCCTAAAATATTGCCAAGTAAAGAACACGGAGAGATATTTCAACGAAATTATATAGTAGAACAAGAGTAAAATGTAAGTTTCTCTTTTCAAAATGAACGGCGAAACTGCACCTGGTATGGCGTTCTTTTCCCGGATCTCGGTTTTAACACCAAAACTGTACTGCGGCGACTTGAACAGATTCACTTTTTCGGGACTGTACGCGCCGGGAGCTGCAAGGACAGACGGCTAAATTGCTTTTGCATTCGCGAGAAATGTCGCGGTCGTGATTACACCACACACTTATCCCGTGCAAAAAAAGGCTGGACACTAAAATTTAGTGACTAAACTGTATAACATTTATTTAGAGAAGACGTGATACACAACTTACACACACATACACACACACTGCGACACAATTTCACATAAAATTCAAATTAAAATGTTAAAGCACAGTGATTGATATTATAAAAATTTGAATCTCCGCTTGTACATACATTTCGATTTCGTGTTTTATTTTTCTTCACATACTATATTACACACACAGGTCATATCATTAGTTTTATTAATATTATGTAAATTATTCGTGACTTTTAATAGAGCGAGGCGTTTAATAGCGCCTACGGCTTGTCTACTTTACTAGATTATCGTACACATTAAGCTTAGAAACTATCGTCAAAACATCAGTAATCCCCACCACAATGTGTTGTTTGTTTTTACACCAAATTACCTGGTGTGTCGCTAAGCTTATGCAAAGGCTTTCTTTCACCGAAACTGAAATAGTGTTTGTGCTCCAAATTCCGAGCTTTCTCCGGATTGTAACTACCAGGGCCTACCAATGGAGCAATGAGAGATTAAATTTTTTGTTTGCTATTGATTATTTTTGTGAGATCATTCACAGAAAGTAGTTAAATTTGGTATCTCGTTAGAGAGCTTTACACCGTTACCTGGTGTATCTTGAGGCTTATAGAGGGGTTTTCTGTTACCAAAACTGAAATAGGGTTTATGTTCCAGACTTAGAGCTTTTTCCGGAGAGTAATCGGCAGGGCCTATCAAAAGCAATAAGAAAATAACGTTTTTTTGTATTATTCAATTATTGTCTACTCCCTGTATACTTCCGTCACATTAATCCGCTGCTAAGAAAAAAAGAGATAAATAAAGACACGGTGTTAGTGCCGGAGTTAGTCCACACCGTTACCTGGTATATCTTTAGGCTTATCCAAAGGTTTCCTATCACCAAAACTGTAATAGGGTTTATGTTCCAGATTTAGAGCTTTCTCTGGTTTGTAATCAGCGGGGCCTACAGCGAAATTAATTTAAGGTCGTCCATTACTTTTCATAAAATTCTCTCGTTGAGCGTTAATAAAAAAAAAAAAAAAAATAGTATATTGAAGAGAAAATACGCGCGCGTGACTATCTCGAAAGAGATCTAGTCAAGTACAACGTGATATTCACCCGGATTGTCGCTTAATTTTTCCAGCGTTCCTTTTCCAATCAAGCTGTACTGCGGTCCTTTGTCTAAATTCACCTTTTCGGGACTGTACGTGCCAGGTGCTGTGACAAACACGTGCAACAAAAGAAAAAGAAACAAATGCAAAAGAAATCTAAATTTATGTTTTGAGAAGGTAAATTTTGAAAATTTGTATACCAGGAATGTCGTCAGGCTTTGGCGTGGATCCTCTGCCGGCCAAACTGTACTGCGGTCCTCTGTCCAAATTCACTTTCTCCGGACTGTAAGTTCCAGGTGCTGTCAAGTAGAAAAAAAGAAACAAATTATTGCACGTAACAAGAAACTGGTTCTGCTAAATTACCTGGTGTATCGCTGAGTTTGTCCGGAGCGTGCCTGATCCCGAAACTATATTGCAATGAAGCATCCAGTCTAACTTTTTCGGGAGAATACGTTCCAGGTGCTGAGAGAGAAAATCGCGACGCATTAGAATTTGTTGGCAGAACAATTCAAGAAGAGCGCGAGGTTTCACACACCTGGCGTGTCCGCGGGTTTTTCAGCCGGGCTTTTGCCGGCCAAACTGTACTGCGGCCCTTTGTTCAAGTTTACTTTTTCCGGACTGTACGTTCCTGGTGCTACGTAAAAACATACACGCATTAATCACAACAAATTGCCGTTGAAAATCGACATGCGTCGATTACCTGGCGTGTCACTAGGCTTGCCCGAAGCATGCTTAATTCCAAAACTGTACTGCGGAGTGTTGTCCAGTCTCACTTTTTCGGGAGAGTATGTTCCAGGTGCTGAAGAGACATTCTTGCTGTAGAGTGTGCAACTACATCTGTTCATCAAAGATTTTTACGTGTGTAACTGTAACGCACCTGGTACATCCGCAGGTTTCTCAGCCGGTCCCTTGCCGCTCAAACTGTACTGCGGTCCCTTGTCCAAATTCACCTTCTCGGGACTGTATGTCCCGGGTGCTACGCAGACAGATATAATAAAACTTTATTAGAAGATAGTAAACTATTAAAGCACTATTAAGACGATGAGCACTACGTAAGAATATATGTTAATTACCTGGCGTATCGCTGGGCTTCTCCAAAGACGGCCTGATTCCGAAACTGTATTGCGGAGTGTTGTCCAGTCTCACTTTTTCGGGAGAGTATGTTCCAGGTGCTGAAAACAGACGTTCTTTCTATAGAGTCGAGTATAAACTGTGTAGTAAACACTTCCACACGCGTATAATCCACCTGGCGTATCCGCGGGTTTTTCAGCCGGTCCTTTGCCGCTCAAGCTGTACTGAGGTCCCTTGTTCAAGTTCACTTTTTCGGGACTGTACGTGCCGGGCGCTAAAAAGACAAAATAAGAAAAAAAAAAAAAAGACATAAAAACACAGTGATAGCATTTCTTTTCTTCAGACATAAGTAAACCTCAAAATATACCTGGTGTGTCACTTGGTTTCTCAATAGCAGGTCTCAGTCCAAAACTAAATTGCGGCGATGGATCCAATTTGACTTTCTCCGGACAATACGTGCCCGGCGCTGTCGGAAAAGATAATTATTTCGTAATTACATTGCGGCTTCCGTCTGATGACAGTAATTCTTACACAGATCTTACGAATACCTGGCGTTCCATTGTCTTTTTCGATTCGACCTTTTCCAGTCAAACTGTACTGCGGACCCTTTTCCAGATTCACCTTCTCCGGGCTGTACGTTCCGGGCGCTGCAGCGACATAACGAATATTAAAAACTTGACACGTATGGGAATGAGAAGGGAAATAAGATCTTACTTAATGTTGTTTATTTTACCTGGGGTATCGCTCGGTTTGTCGAGCGGCGTTCTCAGTCCGAATGAGAACTGCGGCGTGCCGTCCAGTCTCGTTTTCTCGGGACAATAGGTACCTGGAGCTAGACGCTTGCCGATAAATTTATTTTACAAGTTTCACCACGCGAGCGGTGATTTGTTTCTACGTTGCTTGCGTTGTTTGTTACTTGCCAGATTAGATTTAAATAACATGACGCGACATGTATATCGCGCGAGAGAAGACATGCAACGAGACTGATTTTTGATACAAGCGACACTACGCTCAATTTTTATCTTACGTATGCATCAGCTACACACATCAGCTACGCTATTATATTCGATTTAGTTTACGTCGCACACACATTTTCTAAAATGTTACCGGATATTGTTGCGCACAGAAGAATGTTTACGCAGCTGTGTATTAAAAAAAAAAAAAAACAATTAATCCTACATTAATCACACAAAATTATTTACACACAGTTATTCTCAGCTACATCCTAAATATATTATATGTGCGTGATTGATTACTGTGAGAGAGTTTCCCCATGAAGATAGAAGTAAAGTATTCAGAGGTGGAAACTCTTTGCGCTACTACGATCTTGTACTATATAACGTACTGTATATACTGAAAGATTTTTTACGGCACAGAGAGAGAGTGCGTGAAAGTCATCAAAGTATACACATTACACGTCCAAATCGCTAAAATTACACAGTTTGTCCGGAAAGTTCCCGGACT